TATATCTGTTGGCCATTTGTTTGTCTTCTTTGGACAAATGTCTTTTCAGTCCAGGAGCAGTGGCTCATGCCTATAATACCAGCACTTTGAGAGGCTGAGGTGAGAGGATTGCTTGAGCCCAGGAGTTCAAGACCAGTCTGAGGAACACAGGAAGCCCCATCTCTATAAACAATAAACACAATTAGCCAGGAACGGTGGTGTGTGCCTGTGATCCCAGCTACTCATGAGGCTGAGGTGAGAGGATCGCTTGAGCCTGGGAGGTGGAGGCTGCAGTGAGCAGTGACAGTGCCACTGTATTCCAGCCTGGCTGACAGAGACCCTGTCTCAAAAAAAAAAAGGTCTTTTCAGACCCACTAACCATTTAAAAATCTTTTGTTCTTTTGCTGTTGCGTTGTATGATTTCTTATATATTTCATTTCTTTATTATTTGATTTTTAATATTTACTATTTATTTACTTTGAGACAGGGTCTCTTGCTCTTCGGCTCAGGCTGGAGTGCAGCGGCACGATCATGGCTCAGTGCAGCTCCAACCACGGGTCAAGGGATCCTCACATCTCCGCCTCGCAGATAGCTGGGACTATGGGTGTGTACCACCATGCCTGGCTAACTTTAAACACTTATATATATTTTTTTTTAATTAGAGATGGGGTATCACCATGTTGGCCAGGCTGGTCTCGAACTCCTGACCTCAGGTGATCTACCCATCTCAGCCTCCCAAAGTGCTGGGATTACAGGTGTGAGCCACCACGCCTGGCCAGCTTTAAACATTTTTTGCAGAGATGAGGTCTCACTATGTTGCCCAGGCTGGTCTTTAACTCCTGGGCTCCAGTGATCCTCCCATCTTGGCTTCCAAAAGTGTTGGGATTATAAGCATGCAGGGATTTAATCTTAATTCCAAAAGCTGATCTTTCTGAATACATTTTAAGGCTCTGGCTTTCCGAGGTTACCTTCAAAGGTGGGCTGTTCACAGATGTCTCAACTTTAGCAGGGTTAGAATAAAGTCTTATGATTGTGTATTTGTTGATTTATCTGAATTTTATTTGGTTTCACTCCAAAGTGGGTGTACTTTGTACAATTCAATTCCAACTCTAAGCACCTGAATTTGGCTTTGACTTCATTGGGTTCAGTCCTAAGACTGACTTCAGCTATAAGGGAGATCCCCCAGTCCTCTGACACTTTTGTTTGTTTTTTACATGAGTCTCACTCTGTAGCCCAGGCTGGAGTGCAGTGGCGTGATCTTGGCTCACTGCAATCTTTGCCTCCCAGGTTCAAGTAATTCTTGTTTCTCAGCCTCCCAAGTAGCTGGGATACAGGCACGTGCCACCACGCCCGGCTAATTTTTGTATTTTCAGTAGAGATGGGTTTTTGCTGTGTTGGCCAGGCTGGTCTCGCGCTCCTAACCTCAGGTGATCTGCTTGCCTCGGCCTTCTGAAATGCTGAGGTTACAGGCATGAGCCGCTGTGTCCAGCCCCTTGGACACTTCTGACTGGCTACAAATTCAGGGCTTCCCAGGACGCTTTTTCTATCATTCACTGGAACTGCTCAGCATGTAGGAAAGCGGCATACATATGCTTATGGGTTTACTATAAAGGATAACGAATAGGGCAAGGTCTGGGAGGGAGCACGGAGCTTCCATGCTGCCTGTGGAGTCAGGGCCTGTCACCCTCCCAGCACCCTCCCTTTACCAACAGGGACGCTCCACCAAATCTTGATGTTTAGAATTTTGCTGGGGCTTCATTACATAGGTGTAATTGATTAAATCATTGGCTGTGTGATTGAACTCAATCTCCAAGCTTCCTGGCCAGGCGTGAAGGCCAGGCTGGTCTGAAACTCCTTGCCTCAAGTGATCTGCTGCTTTGGCCTCCCAAAGTGCTGGGATTACAGGTGTGAGCCACTGTGCCTGGCCCAGGTGTACTCTTTTTTTTTTTTTTTGAGACGGAGTTTCGCTCTTGTTACCCAGGCTGGAGTGCAATGGCGTGATCTCGGCTCACTGCAACCTCCGCCTCCTGGGTTCAGGCAATTCTCCTGCCTCAGCCTCCCGAGTAACTGGGACTACAGGCACGCGCCACCATGCCCAGCTGATTTTTTGTATTTTTAGTAGAGACGGGGTTTCACCATGTTGACCAGGATGGTCTCGATCAATTGACCTCGTGATCCACCGGCCTCAGCCTCCCAAAGTGCTGGGATTACAGGCGTGAGCCACCGTGCCCGGCTATTTTTATTTTTTTTAAAGATGGGGTTTCACCATTGTTGGTCAGGTGGGTCTTGAACTCCCGACCTCAGGTGATCCGCCCACCTTGGCCTCCAAATGCTTAGATTATAGGCATGAGCCACTGCGCCCGGCCTACAGATACATTCTTTATTTGACCTTGTGTATTTTGGGGGAAGTTCACTTAAAACATGAAGTGTCGCCGGGCGCGGTGGCTCAAGCCTGTAATCCCAGCACTTTGGGAGGCCGAAGCGGGTGGATCACGAGGTCAAGAGATCGAGACCATCCTGGTCAACATGGTGAAACTCTGTCTCTACTAAAAATACAAAACATTAGCTGGGCATGGTGGTGCGTGCCTGTAATCCCAGCTACTCAGGAGGTTGAGGCAGGAGAATTGCCTGAACCCAGGAGGCGGAGGTTGCGGTGAGCCGAGATCACGTCATTGCACTCCAGCCTGGGTAACAAGAGTGAAACTCCGTCTCAAAAAAAAAAAACACAAAAAACATGAAGTATCATTTACTGGAAGAAATATTTTTAGTCCAGTGACTGGCATAGGTCATTTGAACAATAAATTGGCTTTTTGATGATAGAGTTCTGTGCAGGCACCGAAAGGTATATTTTTTGTGACAAGGGGTTAATGATAAATGATGACTTATTTCTATTAAAGGGCCTTCCTATTTTGAAAAAAAAAATACAGAAGAATCGATATTTTTATGTATAGGCACCATTGGAAAGAACTGTGATGAAAGAAAACTTTAGAAAACTTCTATAATATATTCTATGTTCTAGTAGAAAAAAATTACAGCTAAAACTTGGTCGATATGAAATTCAGTGTGTTTGAGGACAGTCTCGCTGGAGTGCAATGGCGTGATCTCGGCTCACTGCAACTGATGCCTCCTGGGTTCAAGCGATTCTCTTGCCTCAGACTCCCGAGTAGCTCGTAGCTGGGACTACAGGCGTGGGCCACCACACTTGGCTGATTTTTTGTATTTCTTTTTTTACATTTTTTCTTTTCAAAGATGGGGTTTCACCATGATGGCCAGGCTGGTCTTGAACTCCTGACCTCAGGTGATCCACCCGCCTCGGCCTCCCAAAGTGCTAGGATTACAGGCATGAGCCACCGCACCCAGCTGATATTTTGTATTTTTAGTAGAGACAGGGTTTCACCATGTTAGCCAAGATGGTCTTGACATCCTGACTTCGTGATTCACCTGCCTTGGCCTCCCAAAGTGCTGGGATTACAGGCGTGAGCCACCGCGCCCGGCTGATATTTTGTATTTTTAGTAGAGACAGGGTTTCACCATGTTAGCCAAGATGGTCTTGACATCCTGACTTCATGATTCACCTGCCTTGGCCTCCCAAAGTGCTGGGATTACAGGCGCGAGCCACCGTACTGGCTGTCATGAATTCTAATATTAAAAAAACCTGCTTTTATTGTCACAGGCTGGTAAGGTAGGTGACTTACCAGCTATAACTGGTTAAATTATTTAAGAACTATGAAATTAAGGTTTCATCTAAGAGTCACAACTTTTAACAGTAAGTAGCTAGATACTAAAAAGGAATGAACTTTTTTTTTTGAGATGGAGTGCAATGGCATGGTCTTGGCTCATTACAACCTCCGCCTCCTGGGTTCAAGCAGTTGTCCTGCCTCAGCCTCCTGAGTAGCTGGGATTACAGTCACCTGCCACCACGCCCACCTAATTTTTGTTATTTTTAGTAGAGACAGGGTTTCGCCATGTTGGTTAAGCTGGTCTTGAACTCGACCTCAGGTGATCCACCTGCCTCGGCCTCCCAAGGTGCTGGGATTGAAGGTGTGAGCCACCACACCTGGCCGGGAGGAACCTTTGAAATACTACTTTATGATTAGAAAGTTGCCAGCGTTGGGAAAAACAAGGAATACTGCTGCTATTATAGATTATTAAAGTAACACACAGTCCAGCAATCAAAAATGCAGACTCAAAACTGAGAAAAGTGGAGTGGAAGGATGGGGGCATGCCCTGCTCTGGTTGGGACTCAAAGTGAGGAAGGCAGAAGACAATGGACAGAAGAGCTGGGCTGGGTTGAGCATGGGTTCTAGAACAGGAAAAGCTGATCAGTATCTTGTGAACTGCCAGCATGGAAACCACTGCATTGATCAGCAACACAAATGGTGGGGGAGGTTCTAGAATAGGGATAGTTTCTGACTACTCGTTGCTCTCCAGAGGTGGCTACAACAGGGTTTGGTTGAATTGTTACCCAGGCTGGAGTGCAGTGACATGCTCAAGGCTCACTCCAACCTCCACCTCCTAGGCCCAAGCCATTGTCCTGCCTCAGCCCCTCCATTAGCTGGGACTAGAGGTACGAACCACCACATCCAGCTAATAGTTTTTTTGGAGAGATGTGGTTTTCCCATGTTGATCTTGAACTCCTGACTTCAAGTGATCTGCCTGCCTCAGCTTTCCAAAGTGTTGGGATTACAGGGGTGAGCCACCATGCCTAGCCCTTGATGTTTTTCATACTATGGGTTATGATCCATTAGTCACTCATGAGCATATCAGGATACACAGTAGGTGAGGATACAAATTTGGGAAACTTTTCTTTTGGTATATATGTGTTTGTAGGTCAAAATGTCTTTCTTACTGTTTTGAAAGCCACAGGTTTAGAGAGCTGGGAGGAAAGGAGCTCTCCCAGTTCCTAATTGCCCCAAATGCCTCATATTAATCATAGTAGAGCAAAAATGGGGAAAAAAAAAAGAAAAAAAAAAAAAGAACCACACACTTCAATATCTACCAACAACAGTACCACAGAGAAATTCACATTGTTAATTAAAGTATATAATGTAAATATGGTATTGAAAGTATAAAAATTAAAGGCTTATGAAAAACTCAAGAAGGGTCAAAAGGCTATATAAGCAAGTAGTATACAGATTGTTTCCTTAAAAGATAAATTTTAATATATAGAATAAAATCCAAGATGATTTTATTATTTTTCACTTTCCCAAAACTTGTGAGCATGAATGCTTCTGAATCTGACCAATAAAGTTTATATTTTGGTCCAAATACATTATTAGACTAACTTGTATGATCAAGTCCAGCTTGATTATCATAAATCATAGACGTTAACAATTTACTCTGAGAATCTGTTGCTAATATAGATGATGGATACAATTTTTTCTTAGCTAAGAATTTACTCAACTTTAGCTCAGAACCAGATTCAAAATATCTTCTTTAAACAGCTGGTCATCATTTTAGGCTTAATCTAGGCAAATTATTTAATACTTTATTGAAGATCATACAAAACCTCCAAAATAAATAATGAAAAGAGTACGCAAAATCATTAGCCTCTGTGTGCAATACAGAAAATACATGTCAGTTCTGGACCAAAATAATTGCATTAAAATACAAAAGGTGATTGGAAGAATTAAAAGATTTGCCGTGACTGTTTTTGGTGGTCAGCTACAACAAGCCAACAACCCCCAGCTATTTTGGAAAGTGAAGGTGGGTCTTAATTTGCAGATAAAGAATGTCTTCGGTAGTTTAAAAAAATATAAACTCTAAAAAAGCTTGTGAATCATATACAAAAGCAGCTATTTGAGACCAAGGTTGAACACCAGAAATTGTGTTAGCACCACCAGCAAGTACAGGGTCCTCTGACTCTTCCGCCCTATCTTGTGCAGAATGCGGGCTTGAATGCTGTACACATGATTTATAGTTATAAAAATCGGCCTTGAGTACAGGGTTCCTGTAGGGTAGTCTTAAGCCCTAAGAGGCACCAAGCGGTTACAAAGGCTAGGTAACATTCCGGATCACAAGGTCCGACGATATAATAAATCTCGTGTTGCCTTATCAACTTTTTGCTGGTAGTCTTCCAATTTGTCAAGTATTTTCTGCGACAGCTATAAGAGGAAAGAAGGAAAACATTACAGAACAGCTCAACAATGGAAAAAGATTGAAGTTATTAATCACTTTGACTTCATCAAGTAGATTCCGTCTAATAAAGATGTTAGCCTGTTAGCCACTCTGCTTCATAAAATCACCATTCAGTATAGGAGTCTCCTCTGTGACTCTACTGATAAAACTAAGCCTCTCTGTTACATACAACATCTCAATCTCATTTTCTAAGAATGGAAATCATACCAATATTTCTAATAAAAGGATCACTAACTCTTTTCTCAGAACCAGAGATGCTGCATATAATTTAACTAGTTATTAGCTGCCAAGTGAAATATAGAACTAATATTTATTTTATTTTAGAGGCGAAGTTTCACTCTTGTTAACCAGGCTGGAATACAATGTTGGGATTTCAGCTCACTGAAACCTCCACCTCCCAGGTTCAAGCAATTCTCCTGCCTCAGCCTCCTGAGTAGCTGGAATTACAGGCATGTGCCACCACGCCCAGCAAATTTTGTATTTTTAGCAGAGATGGGGTGTCTTCATATTGGTCAGACTGGTCTCCAACTCCTGACCTCAGGTGATCCACCTGCCTTGGCCTCCCAAGGTGCTGGGATTACAGGCGTGGGCCACTGCACCCAGCCTAGAACTAATATTTTAGATAGGCTCAGGAGGCACTCTATCTCATTGGTAAACAAGCCATCACTATAATTATTCTGAGCAAAGGAAACATTATTGTTTTTTATTTTAAGGCAAGCATATATGACTCCTGAGAAATGTTGCTGTATTTTTTTTTTTTTTTGAGACAGTCTTGTTCTGCCATCCAGGCTGGAGTGCAGTGGTGCAATCTTGGCTCACTGCAACCTCTACCTGCTGGGTTCAAACAATTCTCCTGCCTCAGCTTCCCGGGTAGCTGGGATTACAGGTGCCCACCACCATGCCTGGCTAATTTTGTATATTATTAGTAGATACGGTGTTTCACCATGTTGGTTGGCAAAGCTGGTCTCCAACTCCTGACCTCAGGTGATCCACCTGCCTCAGCCTCCCAAATTGCTGAGATTACAGGCGTGAGCTACTGTGCCCGACCTATCACACTGTATTTCAAGTACCTGTTTACCCTGTAGGGTCTGCCCTACCAACTAAAAGCTTTAAAGGATGGACTGACTGCATGCCATTTGTCTCTGCATAATTAACATTTATATAGTTTCTCTCTCTCTCTCTCTCTCTTTTTTTTTTTAAAGATGGGGTTTCACCATGATGGCCAGGCTGGTCTTGAACTCCTGACCTCAGGTGATCCACCCACCTTCACCTCCCAAAGTGCTAGGATTACAGACGTGAACCACCGCGCCCGGTGGCTCATGCGTTTTCTTCACCATGTTGCTTAGATCCTTTGCCTTATCTATAAAGGGACTGGGCAGCTTAAGGGCCAAAAACGGGCTTTTGTGCTTCCTTTCTAATCCCTGAGAACTGAAGATCAAGCTGCAAGGTATAACTGCTAGTGCGGGGGCTTACAGAAGACGTCTCATGAAAGGGCTGACTTACTGCGATGTTGTGACTGTTGGCACTGTTCTCTCCCAGAGCGTGGAGAAGCTGATCAATAGAGGAGTACGGAAGCCACACCAATGGGGCCGTTGCGGACAGTGGAAACTAAAAGGAAAATGTTTATTTGAAAACAGTCTGCAAAGTGTACCATTTCTTCTGGGTAGTTGCTTTCATAGGACTCTGTAAAATAAAATGCCCCCTTTTTGTTAAGACAGTCTTGCTCTGTCGCCCAGGTTGAGTGCTATGGCACGATCTCGGCTCACTGCAACCTCTACCTTCTGGGCTCAAGCGATTCTCATGCTTCAGCCTTTTGAGGAGCTGGACTACAGATGTGCACCACCACACCCGGCTAATTTTTTAATTTTTATTTTTAGTAGAGATATGCTTTCACCATGTTGGCCAGGCTAGTCTTGAACTCCCAGCCTCAAGTGATCTACCCACCTTGGCCTCCCAAAGTAAGCCACTGTGACGGGCCAAATAAAATGCTTTTATTTCACAACAAGAAACTGTGTGTGTGTGCAGGTGCATGTACACAATGGAAACCCCCCTTTCTACAATTGGGAAACTTGTCATTTTCTCGGTTAAATTAAATATATTTAAAAATTCTTTTTTTTGGTCTTTTTGATTTTTCCTTTTATGGAGAATGGGGTCTCACTATATTGCCCAGGCAGGTCTTGAAGTCCTGGGCTCAAGCTATCCTCCCACCTCTGCCTCCCTAAGAGCTAGGATTACAGGCATGAGCCACAGTGCCCGGCTATATTTAAAAATTCATGTCATCTTTCTCTCTCTTTTTTTTTTTTTGAGACAGGGTCTCACTGTGTCATCCAGGCTGGAGTGTAGTGACAAGATCATAGCTCACTGTACCCTCAACTCCAGGGCTCATGTGATCCTCCCACATAGCTGGGACTACAGACATGCACCACTATGCCCAGCTAAGATTTTTCTGTTTTTTGTAGAGATAGGTTCTCATTATGTTGCCAAGGCTGGTCTTGAACCCCTGGGTTTAAACGAACCTCCCACCCTGACCTCCCAAAGTGCTAGGATTACAAGTGTGAGCTACTGCACCTGGCTGATTTCATGACGGTTGAAGAACCTGGTTCTGTAGTTAACTACACCTGTTTAGACCTGGCTATTCTATTGCATTTACCATCTGTGTGAGCCTGTTCTTTCAGGGGTTAAAAAAAAAATAAAATTAAAACATTTCTTTGTAAGGCTGTTATAAGGATTAAGTAGAAAATGCTGGCCAGGCATGGTAGCTCATGCCTGTAATCCCAGCACTTTGGGAAGCCAAGGTGGGCAGATGACGAGGTCAGGCAGACCAGGCTGGTCAACATGGTGAAACCCCGTCTCTACTAAAAATACAAAAACTACCCAGGCGTGGTGGCACAATCCCAGCTACTTAGGAGGCTGAGGCAGAAGAATTGCTTGAACCCAGGAGATGGAGATTGCAGTGAGCCGAGATCATGCCCCTCCACCCCAGCCTGGGTGACAGAGCAAGAATCCGTCTGAACCCAGGAGATGGAGATTGCAGTGAGCCGAGATCATGCCCCTCCACCCCAGCCTGGGTGACAGAGCAAGAATCCGTCTCAAAAAAAAAAAAACAAAAAAATAATAAAAAAAAAAATGCTTGTAGAGACTTAACACAGTCCCGGTACACACATAATACCATTTTGTTTACCTCTCTCCATTGAATGCTAACTAATGCCACAATATTTTGATAGAGAAAGATGAAACTCCTATTTTATAAATGGGAGACTAGAGATTCCTAGAGTGTCAAGATTTAGTTGTATAACTATAGATAGTAAAGGTTCAATACACTAACATGTAGTTCAATTTGCTCTCAGATTCTCACCTTACAGAGCATGATAATAAAAAGAAATGCCTAGGTCAGGCGTGGTGGCTCACTTGAAGTTAGGAGTTCGAGACCAGCCTGGCCAAGATGGTGAAACCCCATCTCTACTAAAAACATAAAAATTAGCCGGGTGTGGTGACGGACACCTGTAATCCCAGCTACTCAGGAGGCTGAGGCAGGAGAATTGCTTGAAGCCAGAAGGCAGAGATTGCAGTGAGGCAAGATCGTGCCACTGCACTCTAACCTGGGTGACAGAGCAAGATTCTGTCTCAAATAAAATAAAATAAAATGTAAAATAAAGTTGGGTGTGGTGGCAAGTGCCTGCAATCGTAGCTACTCGGGAGGCTGGGGCAAGAGAATTGCTTGAACCCGGGAGGCAGAGGTTGTGGTGAGCGGAGGCTGCACCACTGTGCTCCAGCCCGGGTGAAAGAGCAAGACTCTGTCAAAAAAAAAAACAAAAAAAAAACAAAAAAACCCACAAACAACAACAACAGAAATGCCTATACAGATGTTCCTCAACTTATGGTGGGCTTGTTTTCCAATAAAACTATCATCAGTTGAAAATATCGTAAGTTGAAAATGCATATAATACACCTAACCTAATGAACATCATGGGTTAGCCCAGCCTACTTAAGCATGCTCAGGACACTTAACATTAACCTATAAGTTGGGCAAAATCATATAACAAAAAGCCTACTTTATAATACACTGTTGAATATCTCATTAATTTATTGAACACTGTACTGCAAGTCAAACTCTGAATGGTTGTATGAATATTTTAAAGTATGGTTTCTCATAAATGTTCATCACTTTCAAACCATCGTAAAGTTGAAAAATCATAAGTCAAACCATTGTAAATTGGGGATCGTTTGTATATGCCTACCTCAATTCCAAAGTATTGATGTCCTTTTCCCAATACAGCATCCACATATTCTGACACCAAATCCACAGCTTCTTCTAAAAGGTCATAGTTCAAGTACAAACGAAGCAATTCAGCAGCATCAACCTTCTGTGAAAAGTCAATGATTAAGAATATGTATCTGGCTGGGCGCGGTGGCTCAAGCCTGTACTCCCAGCACTTTGGGAGGCCGAGGCGGGTGGATCACGAGGTCAAGAGATCGAGACCATCCTGGTCAACATGGTGAAACCCTGTCTCTACTAAAAATACAAAACATTAGCTGGGCATGATGGCGCGTGCCTGTAATCCCAGCTACTGAGGAGGCTGAGGCAGGAGAATTGCCTGAACCCAGGAGGCGGAGGTTGCGGTGGGCCGAGATCGCGCCATTGCACTCCAGCCTGGGTAACAAGAGTGAAACTCCGTCTCAAAAAAAAAAAAAAAAAAAAAAAAAAAAAAAAAAAAAAAAAAAAAAAGAATATGTATCTATTTCCCTCTTATTTGGGTACTGACCAAAAGAATGTTGAGTGGCTGATGCCCTAACGTTTGTATTTCTCAAAATAATTAAACCAGTGCCTTGGCTTACTCATCTGTATCTTAGTATAACAGCTGATAACAAGTTTGGGGAGTTAGGAAAAAAAAAAAAAGTTGAATTCCCAAGAGCCGTTACCTCTAGGCACTTTAGGAGGCTCTGTTGTTAAATAGCCTTCTTCCCCTCTTTTGTGACCTAAGATGTATTTTAACTTTTCTCCACTTCAGTTTCCACAGGTGTAAAGTCAATAAATTTTTCCTAAATACTAAAGTGACAATATAGTCACATAATAAGAACTATACAAATGACAAATGCAAAAGAAGTTCAAATAATCAATAACTTCAAATCTGAAGTCTCTATTTGGAAGAGCTCTATTAATTAAGTATGCTTTCTATATTCTGATTTGATCACAATCTTACCTTTATCATCTTAGCTGCCTTCCCTACTTATTTATTTTTTTTGAGACAGAGTCTTGCTCTGTTGCCCAGGCTGGAGTGCAATGGCACGATCTTGGCTTATTGCAACCTCCACCCACTGGGTTCAAGCGATTCTCCTGCCTCAGCCTCGAGAGTAGCTAGGATTACAGGCACCCACCACTGTGCCCGGCTAATTCTTGTATTTTTACTAGAGACGGGGTTTCACCATGTTGGCCAGGTTGGTTTCGAACTCCTGACCTCAGGTGATCCACCTGCCATGGCCTCCCAAAGTGCTGGGACTATAGGTGTGAGCCACCGTGCCCGGCTGTTTTTGATTTTTAATAGGTGAAACAGTGGGAGTGGAGAAGGAACCAATCTGAAACTGGTTGTGCTCAATTCATTGTAAATACCATGGCACTCAGACGAGCCATATTGTTATATTATTTGAAAAGTACTCCACCCACTTCTGAGAATTTTTGAGTTATGAATAGTAAATCCTATGTATAAACTTATTGTTCAGTGAATATAACAGTAGTCATTAACCTAATTACTAACAAATGAAACTTCAAATCTAAACACACAGTACTACTGTGGAAATGAAATCAAATTGTTCTTACAGTTTTAGCTACGAAGAAAAGCTTTCCAAAGTATATAAGTCAACATGTTCCCATAAGTTATCACTTCATCTTTTTCTTTTTTTTTTTTTTTTTTTTTTTTT